TTTTCCCTGATTTTCAGCTTGGTTCCATGTTGCCCGCCACGACCAACTCCCCTCTTAACCGGGGACTCACAACAGGGATTACTACGAATCCCTTGTTCTCCTCCTTTAAATCTCCGTTAATATCCTTGTACATGTATTTGTATCCTTGTACAGTACTTTAACCTTGTACATGTATTGTATACCTTTGGGGGTACATGTACTTGTTCCCTTTGACGTATTTGTATCCTTTTTACATGTACGGTGGGAAAATAAAGATATAAGATAACCTCACACAAGCTTATTAGTTTGGAGTGAATTTGGAAACTGACAAAAAGGAACCGTACTCTTTCTAAAGTTCGGGTAGCGGGATAAACCGAATGGAGTTAAAAAACTTAACATTACCTTTGTGTTTGTTGCACACTTACATTGTTTATGTATTCTTAAATATCTGTTTGCATATAAGGCCAATCAACTTGTTGCAGAGAACGTCCCAGGGCAGTGTGTGTAACACCTGGTACATCAGAATTAGTTCAGGGTCACATTTACTAGTGACCTTGCAAAAACTGATGGACCCTTTAAAGGGGTACGAAGCTTTACTAGGGACAATAACTTTTTTATTAACAAGTCACTGACAGGAGCTGCTATTAACAGGTGTTTTTATCTTTATCACCCAGGTTGGTCCTTGATCATTTTTTTAAAAGTGGAAATAGATCATTACCACTGTATCATGTCCAGCTATCAAAACTTTGTGGCCCAGTCCCTGGACCCATAATGTACCTCTGTAATGTTGAGGTACAGTCCCTGGACCCATTATGTACCTCTGTAATGTTGAGGTACAGTCCCGGGACCCATTATGTACCTCTGTAATGTTGAGGTACAGTCCCTGGACCCATTATGTACCTCTGTAATGTTGAGGTACATCCACTGGACCCCTTATGTGCCTCTGTAATGTTGAGGTACATCCACTGGACCCCTTATGTGCCTCTGTAATCTTGAGGTACAGTCCCTGGACCCATTGTTAATTCTGGAACAAGGTGTATGAATTTCATCCTGTTTACAGTATCTCTCAAATGTTTTAAGCCCAAACAATAGCTGTTTCTTGCTCAGTTACAGGTTAATTTCATTCAGCCTCAGTTAAGCCCTTGTGGTTTAGCGCTCCTTTGGCTTAGCACTTCTTTTTGATTATAATAATAATCAGCCTTGGTTAAGACTTGACTAGTAAACAGAACTTACCATCAGTCTTTTGTGTCAGAATAACACATATGACTAATGTTAGCAGTACGTACGTAATAGGGGAAGAGCGTAGTCCAAACATCATTTTGAGGAAATGGTAATGACCCATAAGTGTGGAAAGGCTGTCAGTTCTCGGCTGTCCAAAGGTAATGAATGATAAACACGTTATGACATGATTACAATCATAGACAAATTACAGAGTAATGAGCAGTTAACAAACATAGTAGGGAATTCATCCAATGCCCCAACAACAGATGTTGCTAGGTGCCTGTCTCTCCTCGGTAGACAGCCATTGCAAACAGCAGCAAGTTGCCCAGGGATCTGCTGCCTGCACGAGCACCATCGACCCTCCCCAAGAGGTCCAAGAAGCCAGTGACTCTGTTAGCAGCCCGATGGCACTTATTGACATCCTTGTGACTAGTCTAAAGTAGAGAAAACTTTATTATCAGCTGTTGATAAATTAGACACATGTGCAACTCTTGGGTATTCTATTCAAGATTGATGGACTGACCACATCGACTCAAGGTTGAGGGACTGATTACCTCATTCTCCTCCTGTTCTTCAAGATTCTCCTTTGTATGGACTGATGAAGCCACTGTGTGGCGAAACGTTTCCTCAAAGATACCCAAGAGTTGCACATGTGTCTAATTTATCAACATGTCGGTTCTCTGAACCATTCATCTACAAATTATCAGCTGTGTTGTGTAGCAAGTGGAAAGTGATCAGGAATTGTTTTAGCATTCAGCATCCTCTAATCTATAAAGTAAAAGGGCACAAGTGCAACTAATGTGACATTTTATTGTGGCAACGTTTCGCTCTCCAGGAGCTTTATCAAGCCATTACAAACACATGGACACAGAGGGTATATAAAGGCTCAGAGTGAGGTGAATACTAGTGAGGTAACATTTCGATGTTCACTAGTGGTAGTAGTAGTAGTAGTAGTAGTAGTGACAAAAGTAATACAATATGGTAGAGCAATTAATTCGTACATGAGTAAAAGGATATAAAAGCTATTACTTGGGTAA